GGAAACGGGTGATAAAACGGGGCCTGCTGCTTCTGTCGCCGGAAAACGGCAGGTCTGGTGCGCACAGGAGGCTCGCCAGCGATTCTAAGGCTTGGCCCGTCGGTGGTGATGATGGTGATGGTGATGGAGGTAAGCGACACTGATGGTGGTCTGATCTATGAGTGATGGTGATGAGGGTGAGGTGATGATGGCGATCGAGAATGGACTGGGGAAGGGTTTTCTCTGCTCGATGAAGACGACGAAAGAAAGAAAAAAAAAAAAGAAATCTGCTATGGAGGCTTAAAATAAAGAAAAAATTACCTCCAATACGGGTGCTTCAACTTTTATTTCTCAATAGACGAACGTTTTTTTCTTATTCTACTTTTATATAGACATGTGGTTTTATATACCTTTTCTTACAACATTATTAAATAGGTTAAGAAAATTTATGTTTGCATCCAAATAAGGATAGTGGCATGATTAAGGTATCATTCCATCAAACCTCTCTGTCTTCTCCCTTTCTTCTTTATATTCCCATTTTTTTGCTATAACTTTTTGTTCCTGGTTTTTTTCTTGCAGCAAACAATAGACTCAAATTCTGAAGATGAGACCCAATGATAGTTATCCAAAAACAAAAAAAAATCAATTTATTAGTTGTTTGAGTTTTGATTTCATGACGGAAAGGGGTTGTTTGATGAGGAACTCATTGTAGGCAACATGTAATGAATTTTTTATTTGGGGGATACAAATAATGTTTTCATAAACTTAATTTTAAATGCTTTGGATAAATTTTGTAGGATTATGGATAAAATCTCTCTAAGAAAAGTTTCACATTTAGTCGCATTTTCCATCTACTCTTTAGTTATAAATTCAACAGTTTTATTCTTAATAAGCGGGATATAAACAGAAAATAAATCAAAACTAGATGTGACAATACAAATTCAATTAAACCATATTTGTAATAATCAACAAACAAACTCAAAAGAAACCTAAAAATATATGTCTGAAAATGGACTATATAAGACGTAAATATGAAATAAATGAGAACTAGATGTTACAATAGAAATTGTTAATTAACCATATTTTTAACATGCAACAATAAAACAAAAAATGAGTTAAAATATGTGTTTGATCTTTTCCGGAGATGGAATCTTCAATTTTTAGTTTGTTGTAAAATTCATGCGTGTGTGGGATAGATATGTTAGGGAGAATAAAAAAGGTATAAGTGATAAAAGATATTTACGGAAGAGATAAGATGAGAGATTACATGCAATTTATAGGAAAGCAATCAAGCATAAAAGATTTTTAATACAAATCACGCATGTAAATAAATGTGTTTTGGAAATAAATCGAAATTTCTCTATTTTAATGACATTCCTTTTGAAAGTAAATCTATTTTGAAAATTTAAATATATTTGTGGTTGATATTTTTAATTGGAATGAATTTTTACATATTATAATGTTTGAAGATTTAACTTTATGTTTATCGATAGCTCACAATTGTCTTTGTTAACTTTTTTTAAGTGAATATTCATTATCGATTAAGAAAAATATATATATTTTTTTTAAATCTCACTTTTTATGAAGACATTATTTAAAAATCTAATTTTAACAGAAATATTATTTATTTAATATATATATGCAATTTTGCTAATAGAAAATTGCATTGAAATATTCTTTACAAAAATTGTCCTAATTAATATGTTCACATTTATGTAATTAACATATAACGTAGTTTATGGTTTAATTGATAATTTTGAATCTTTTGAAATGTGATTTTAAATGTGTAGGGTCCTAAATATGCATATGTATAATTAAATATGTAAACTTACAGGCAATACATTAAAATTCTTTATCTAATAAAGAATGTGCATATCAAATCTTAAAGAATCTATAGCATTGATATCTTCATTTGATAAAGAAATAAATATCAAATGCCTTTTTAAGTAATCTAATAATGAATATAAATCATCCGTGCAAATGATCTATACAGTATAGAAAATTTATATTCAATAATTTATAATTTTTTGTACGCAATCCATTTATTTTTGTTACATATATATAAATTATACTAATTTTAATATTTCACATATTAAACATTCCAAGAAAATATATCACCCGCACGGGTTATGCGCTAGTTAATGTTATATACAACTAGAGCAAAAATGGTGGAAAATAATGAGAACTAGAAAATATGCGAATGAATAAAAATATAGTTAATCAGTATAGAACTTTGAATTAAAACATTTTCCAGAAATTTGTGCATAGTGATTGATTCACTTTAGTTATATCAATTCTTTAAAATGGCAAAAAAATTGAACAGTACGAATTCAATCTGGACACTTTTCCGGCAGGTAAAATAAAAAATAAGACCTAACAAGCTCTGGTAAAACAATATCTGAATGACTGAATACCATTTCACAAAATAATCCAAATCACCATCTTTAAACTCCACCATACCAAAAACTCAAAAGCAAATAAAAATGCTAAAATATAGATCAAAGACAAGTAAAACATACGGGAATCAGAAATCTCGTGTGGAAAGTGCCGATCACTGCAACTACCAAACTTGGTACTGCTACTCCTGCACAATATGCTTTGATTTTCATCATTTTCCCTAATTTTTTCTTAATGAGAATACGAAAACAACTGAAAATTATAAATAAACAAAAATTATAAAAGGCCTGAAATTAGATAAATTTAAAGAATAGATAAAACAGCAGAGAGATAGATTAGATGGAAGCATTATGAAGAGTTTCGGATTTCAGAGCGAACTGCGGAATGGAATGCTGAAAGGAATTTTATAGAGACGTTGTTGCCCTAATTTTATCGACCATTGTGCAATCAGCGAAAATGGGCCTGTTTACAAAATTAGTTTAAAAGGCCGCGTCTCTTAAACGGCCCGGTTCACGGCTCTCAGTTTCAGACTTAGGAATATCTCTATGAGGAATTTGCACCCCTTACTTTAAGTTATAATATATATTACACTTATACACTAGTTATATTCTTATTTATAAATATACTAAAACAAGCATAAAATATTACACTTATACCTGAATTGTGAAATGATGCAGATGTAACCGTTGTTAAGCAATTATCGAGATAAATTAAATGCAATTGTGATAATTAATTGAAATGACCAAAAAAGAGGAACAAATAACCTCTCTCTCTATATCATCTCTCACCCCACGTTTACCCCTACTTTTTCAATGTCTCAAAAATTGATATTTCTTCCATTTTCTTTTGAATCACAAGACAAGTGAACAACAAATCAATCTCCCCCTCACTTTTTCCTTCTCGCCCAGACCACAAAATTGACGCACGATATGAATAAAATTTGAAAGAACACGACACCTCTCGGAATAAATTGACGAAACATGGCGGCGAATTTCGGCACAGGGTACCTGAGCCCTTTAACGGCGACGGCCAAAAACGTCCGCGTTGAAGGAAGGCGGACGGCGGACGGTTGGCAAGCATTTATTGGTAACCCGATCTATCGAGAACCGGCAGTTGATGTAAACGCGTGGCGGCCCGCGGTCTTCTGGTATTTATTGTATGATTGATTGTCATTGACGTTGTTGAACTCGAAGTCCTGGACGGTGTCTAACTCGATGGCGAACACGTGGTTGGAGGCGTTGCAGACGGTGGTGGAGTTCAAGAGAGAGGTACTGGCTGGGCTGGGCTGGGCGGAGGGGAGGTCGTAAGACGGGGAGATATACTGAATATATTAGTTTATGTACAAATTAGTTTGTGAATGGATGTTTTAATGTTTATTCATAGTTTATGTTTGGTGTATTAGAAGATTTTTTTTGTTGAAATGGCACGTATTCCTTGTTGCAAATTAGTTTATGATCGGTATATGTACAGTATATGTACATAATAGATGTTTTTATCTTTCTCTATTATTTTATGATCTTGTACATAATCTTTTATGAAAAACATGTTTTTCATTGCAACATATATGGAATATATACTAACATAAACGCAATATATATTCACTGCACAATTGCGTGAGTTATTTTAGGCATTAATATAGATAAATAATGTCATTTTTTTGTGTATGTGTGTGGTTTATTTTTTAGCAAAACTGTTTACAAAGCATAAAAATAAAATAAACAATACGTAAACTCAACATATACTAAAAAATATTAAAAAACTGATTTAAAACAAGCATAAACTGATTTTTTTTATTATATCTATAGTTTATATTCAATATATTTTCGGTATATGTATCGTTTATATTTAGTAAAATCATGGAAAATACATACAATACATATACCAAACATTTTTTATGGTTTATTTTATGTATATATATTAAATATATATTCAACATATATTTAGACAAAAGATTTTGTGCGGATAACATATACATCAAGCAATTTTTATTTTGCCGAATATCGTGCAAATAACATATACATCAAGAAATTTTTTAGGTAACATATACATCAAGCAAATAACACTGAGAGTTTGTTTTACCGGATAACATGTACATCAAGTAAATAACATATACATCAAGCATTTTTTTTTCCTTTTACCGGATATCATGCGGGAATTGGGGGATTGAGGGCCCCGATAGTTACGTAACTGCTTTTAGGTTTATTAAGCAGTAAAAAATCCTTATTTAGGTAGATTTATAATTATTTGATTATCAATGATAGAATTATAATATTTTCTATTTCATACAGGAGACATAAAAATTTCCCCAGTCAATAACCCAGCCTGCCCGGCCCAATTTGTACAACTCGGAATATATTTAGTGATACCAATACCAATATCAAGTTAGAGTAAAACTTAAAAAAGTTTGATTTTACAAGTCAAATCATTCCAATGCACAACCATATATCAAGACTACATACATACACTCACTCTCACTAGTAAAATTGTTGGTGACATATTTTTGTGTCTCTTAATACATGTATCTTCGCGCGGTTTGCCAATCGGTATAAATAAACCTAAGAATATACAACAGGTAAGTATTTTCATTTTTTATTTTTTTTTCACGTTGTTTTGAGTGACAAAAATCATGCAACAAATAGTTCAGCCTTGCCATCAATGAAGAGGCTCATGAACTCCTCTCCATCAACAGTTTCTTTCTCAATCAGCAACTGAGCCAGCTTGTGAAGAATGTCGATATGGGTTGTGATTATCTGCTTTGCCCTAGAGTACGCCCGGTCTACAAGCTCCCTCACCTCTGCATCAACAATGTCTGCAGTCGCCATCGAGTAGTCTTTCTGGGTCGACATCTGCAATTATTATACAGTAAATTTGGAAATGAGTTAATAATGAACAAATATTGAGCATTTATTACATTTTCTCAGTTCGTCTCAACCTTTGAAAGGTTGCAGATAAAGGTTTCTACTTTGCAATTTTCTTTTAGAAAAGACATCCAATTACAGATAAATATTCTGCCTTTCAGTTTTCCTGTTTGAAAATGGCATCCGATTACTCTTTTTGGCCAGAATACTGGTATGGCATGCCAAAAATGCCAGTTTCAAGGTGCAAAATAACATTATGAGATTCACATATAAAATGCCGGCATGCCAGGTCAGCATTTTGGCTGAGAAAAGCCGTCAGTAATCCTTCTCCGGAAAGAAACTGAAACTACAGAGTATTGGACAATGAGTTTTTGCAATTATCGTTTACTTTCTCAAAGAGTTCCCTAATTGCACGAAAAGAATTGAATTATCCTGAAGCAGTACAAATACCCCGGTTTCGAATGTTTCCAATGAAATTTCAACGATAATCGTAATTCCCATAAAAAAACTCCACTTTGCTGTAATTATGCTACAGGAGCAGTAATATTAATTCTTTAAATGTTGTATACTAAGATGAGTTACCTGCTGGCCAAGGAAGGGATTTCCACCGGGCCCACCAATAGCCACTTGACCGATCTTTTTGCTGAAGCCAAACCTCTCGACCATTTGCCTTGCAACCCTTGAAACTTGCATGAAGTCATTGGAAGCTCCTGTTGTCACATTATCTTGTCCGAAGATAGCCTCCTCGGCAACCCTGTTTGTCACGAGCACCAATAATCAAACAAACATTTTCTTTAACTTCACGAAATAAACGATACACTGATACTACACCATATGTATAACCGAGCCAACGACATTGCGAGATTCAATCTCCAAAGGGAGAATATAATAAAATTTAAGGAGATAAACTTCATTGAGATTCTTTATCCCTTAAATTTTAAATGTTTATCTGGGTAGTTGCAAAACATCATTGAACACTTGGTCTTTAAAAATTACGAACACTCCATTGTCAACTCCATTGACATTTGCTTCAAACTTTACCAAAGAGACTATTATGGATGGAGGTATAATCTAATTATGAGCAACATATTACAACGCTAATATATCAGCCTTTCAATTATTTTATTGACTTAATTAACTGATCCAGATAAGATAAGGTAAAAGTCCATGAACTAACTACGAGGGTTTAAGTGATTATGGATGGCCTAATTGAATAGTATATAAACACTTTTGGTAAGGTCCCCAATACACTAAAGTGCGCATAAATTCCTGTTCTCCTCAACTAGAATGAAAATAAAGTTCATAATCAGATTTAGTCGAGGAAAAGAATGCCATAACACCTAATCTTTGATGATATATGTATGACATTATAATCGCAGATAAATTATCCCACATCAAGGATAATTATTGAACTTATATTATGTGATTATAAATTCCTACAGACTCAAGATTCATGACACATGACAGATTACTGATTATTGTCTTTTTATCTTCATTACTTATCAAACATATTCCAGTCATACTCCACATTACTCCTAAAAATAGAACACAATTACCTCAAAAGTATTAATGTTTAAGCTGTTACACAAATCGGAGATCAATTCAATTAAACCGTGTAAACTTAACATAAGTGCCTGAATGTGAAAAAAAATAGAACGACTAAATTCCAAAAAAAAAAAACTGACCTTCCACCCAGAGCAACTGCCATCTGATTTTCCAAATNTAATTGATAAAGAATATGGACAGTTTATAAATTTATAATTCAATATCCACTTTATTTTTTCTGTTTTTGTACCGTGATAAGCCACGAGCCTCTTCTTTTCATCAGAGACAACAGCATTCTTCTTCTCGGGCCCTGCGATTATTCTTTCGAGGGCATCAGATATCTCGTCCTTGCTTATCTCCTTGAGGTCACGCCTTGCCGCCAGGATGGCGGCCTCGTTCATGAGGTTTTGCAGATCGGCCCCCGTGAAGCCAGGTGTCCTCCTCGCTATTTTCTCGAAATCAACGTCCTTGGCCAGGGCCTTCCCTCTTGAGTGCACCTACAATATCAAAATATCTCAATTATGTCAAGCCATCTGTAAAGTAAGCCCTGGTTCAGTGTTAGAATAATATCTAGTCAAGCTAAACAGATTCGTAGCTATGAAATTCAGAAGTCCTCAACATCATTTTTCTCAATCCAAATGAAGCTTATAGTGCTACAAACAATCTGCACTTTCTACAGATCCCATCACACTCCATAATTTCTAAGCTGACAAATAAGTTACCACATTCATCAAACTAGCTCCTGTCAAAATCTAAATAGCCCTGCACACAGTTTGTTCATTCTAAACCAAGCAATCACACCAAAACCTCCAAATCAGTTCAACACAAACTACGAAAAAAAAAAAAAAAAAAAAAAAAAAAACTATAAAGAACTCACTAACCTGAAGAATCTTGACTCTCCCTGCAACATCTGGCCGATCGACAGTCACCTGCCGATCAAACCTCCCGGGCCTCAACAAAGCCGAATCAAGCACATCGGGCCTGTTTGTAGCCGCCAGCACTATAACACCCGAGTTACCCGAAAACCCATCCATTTCAGTCAAGAGCTGATTAATCGTCTGCTCTCTCTCATCATTCCCACCACCAAGCCCAGCCCCTCTCTGCCTCCCAACAGCATCGATCTCGTCAATAAACACAATGCACGGAGCTTTCGATTTTGCCTTCTCGAATAAATCCCTCACTCTAGAAGCCCCCACACCCACAAAAAGCTCGACAAACTCCGAAGCCGCACACGAGAAAAATGGCACGCCTGCCTCTCCTGCCACAGCCCTGGCCAAGAGGGTCTTCCCAGTCCCTGGTGGGCCCACCAAGAGACAGCCTTTGGGAATTTTTGCGCCTAATGCTGTGTATTTATCTGGGTTTTTCAAGAAATCGACTACTTCCTGAAGCTCAAGCTTTGCCTGGTCAGCTCCCGCCACGTCAGCAAACGTCACGCCAGTCTCTGGGACCTCCTGGAACTTGGATTTGGAGCGGCCGAAGTCCATTGGGCCACCGAGACCGCCGGGCCCTCCGGGCCCTCCCTGAGCCCGACGGAACAGGAAGAAGAGGCCCGCAAAGGCAAGAAAGGGGAAGATTAGATTCCCGATGAAACTAAACAGACCGTTTCCAGATTCGCCCTCGGAGACGGATATATCTACGCCGTTCATGGCCAATATGTCGATCAGGTCCGGGTCATTGGGCACGACCACCGTGGCTCGGCGGCCGTCGACGGCCGTGAGCTGAAGGGCACTTCCGTCTTTACTGAACCTAACCCTCTCGACCTTTCCCTTCTTCACCGCGTTCAGGAACTCGCTGTATCGCCACTGGGAGCCCTCGGGGAGGTCGGAAGCGGGCTGGGCCTGGGGCTTCGGCGCATTCAAGATAAGGTCTTGGCCGAAGGGCGACAACGGGCCGGGCTTTTGGGCCTCGATTTCGACAACCTGTGGAGCGGGGGCTGGTGGCGGCGGGGAACCATCCAGCGCCAGCGCATGTGGAGTGACTGAAGAGAACAGTAGCGCGGCTAGAGCTGCACGATTGGTTAGATTTTTCGAAATTGTGTAGCTTTTATCATCAAGAAGTGATTTTGGGATGGCGAATCTTCGTGGGACTGTTTTGGGAGTGGGAGGGGATGTGAAGACTCGGGTGCCCAAGAATTTGGAGGAGAATAATGGGTTTGTTATGGAGGAAGCCATTTTTGAGTTTTTCGTTGTTGCTAGCTGTGATTGTTTGAAGTTTATAAGAGCTCGAGCTTGAAAAGTTGAAATTGGGTTACTTGAATTTTAGGAATGAAAGGAGGCCATAGATTTGGTTTGTTGCAGGGATTGGTTCTACGTGTGTGGAGAATTAGCCAGTGGTTGGTTTGATATTTTGGGGCTTTGAAATGGGGAGTTTGTGTAGAGAGTGCGGACAAAATGGAGTGGAGATAGTTCTTTCTACACGAGACATCTGCAATCCTCAACTCTGTTGTAACTTATAAATGTACACTAAAAAATTTAAAGTAAAATTTTTTACATGAAATATATTAATCCAAAGTATAATTTAAATATAACTATAAAACTAAAATTTAAAATTATTTAACAAAATAAATAATTTTATTAATGTATATTTTATTAAAATAATATAAAAATAAAAATCAATTTAAAATTTAAAGTTTGAAAAAAAAAAATTTATAACGCAGTGAATAGCACCGTGCAATACTTTGTTCACGTTTTTAGCATAGTGTGAAATGTAGGCAATAGCAAGTTTTTCACACTACTTTTAAGTGGAGTAAATTGATGTCATTTATATGATTTTAGTAATTTTAGAAATAGGGTTATTTGAAAGTTTACATTATGATTGCTTATGCTAGGCTAGGGTTACAAAAGAATGTAAGCCAACCTTTATCAAGTCATCCCAAGTTGAACCGTCCAATTGAACATGACTCGCTTAACAATTTAATTTGTACTCCATTCAGCCTATGATTACGTGTTATACAATACTAGTTTGGAGCCAAAAATTATGCAAAAACTTTAATCTGAGTTGGTTTATAAGAACTGAAAAAGATTAGATGCAACTACAAATTAAACTACTTTCTGATACAATTTTTTTCTTTTTTTTTTTTGGTCAATCTAACCGTTGAGGGAACCGATACATTATCAACAAAAATATACTATATTTACATTATAAAATATCACGCAATATATCAAAGTATGAAAAATTATGGTATATTTGTAAAAATACATATCAGCCCAAGAACTACCGTGTTTCTAAAACTAGCGTTGATACCCGTGCGATGCACGGGACGCAATACAAAAAATATTTATTATTTAAATATTATAAAATTATTTAAGACAATATGAAATTCTATTCTCCACAATATTCTATTCAGTAATAATATGACATTTATTTATTTGTTATTATTGTTAATTTCTATTTTTGTATTTTTTTTTGTAGTTTTTGACTATTTAATATATAAATCTTATTATTTATAAGTTTATAAAATATTTTAAATGTATGAGATCATATGATATTTGCATACAAATTATTTGTATATACTTATAAAATCATTGTTTATTATAGTCTTATGATTTTTTAACAATTCATAATTTGCACATTGCTTGATAATTGGCCAACGATTAACCCATAATATTTATCTTCGTCTAGAATTATTAAGTTCATTAAATGGTAAAAACTTTGATAAACAAAATTTAATTTTTATTGACTTTAATCCTTATGCAACACACAAATTTTTTATGGTTAAATATTTTATTTTTATGTTTCTATTTTTATTTATATTTATTTCTTTAATTAATTTTTTCAACCTATATAATGAATTACATAGTATCTATTCGAATATTTTGATATATTATATATTTTCATAATTACCAAGTGCTATAATCTAAATTAATATACATTGCTTTTTTATTAACTTATTTTTCATTTATAAAATAGTATATAAGAAAAGAATAAATATTTTTAAAAATTGGATAGTTTTTAATGTACATAGGTACTTCTAAGGTGGAATTTATAATTCTGAATTGCACCCAACCATCAAATTTTATTTTTATTAGTATTATTTAAATTTTCAATACTGTTATTACTACATATGATATATTCAATGGGGGATGTACCTTTTTATAGTTAAATTGGCTACATATTTGAAACTTTTATTAATATTTTAAATTATTTATTAAGTTATTATGATTTAAACATAGTTTTATATTTTTCTAATTATTTTATTAATATTTAAGTACTTTTGGATAGTGAATATAATTAATTAAATTAATATCTACAGCCATAGATGATAATATATTTAATCAAATCAATTTCCATAATAATTTTTTGAATTGTGCCAATAAATTACTATTAAATTAATATAAGATCTTACTGAAAATATATCTAATAAATTTACAGTCAAAGTTTCAATTTAAGCCAATTTGTAGTTAATGAGTAATAGTCATTGAGTGTATAAAAATTAATTATGTTTTTTATGCATATGATTTGTTAATAAATAAATATTAATTAAATGTATATATATATAGATAATATATTTAATAGTCATTGAGTGTATAAATTTTTCTGCCCAAAATCATGTCAATTATGGCAATAAGGATTTGTCCATTATATAGATATATATATAGATATAGATCTATAGTATAATTATAGGTTTGTATATTTATGGTATCATTGGGTGTTATTATCTTAATTGGTGGTATATATATTTTTATGCATTATTAAATATATATTTTTATGCATTATTAACTATCTGAATGATTCTCATACTTAAAATTGATTTTTTATTTTTAGAAAAAATAAAACTGAAATTTATTATTATTTTTATATAGATTTTTTTCTTAAAATTCTCATTCAATAACGTTTAGGAACTTCAAAGATAGCTGAATAGTAAGTCGCATAAATATTATTGTAGATTCCATATTAATTTGAATTATTAATTGAATACTAATTTCGTTAAGTTAATGCAAAGTGCAAATGGAAACACGGATCTAAAGTATTATTGACAAATGCAAAAATAATTAAACTTACAATTACACAACCAAATGTAGAAATATTGCCAATTATAGTCATTGCATATCATCTTTATTTAGCAATAAATTCCATCAACTCCCTCTTTATATATATATAGATGTTTCAAAAATGAACCGAACTTCAGCACAACACTATTATAGCTTAGTCCAGAGCAGAATTTCTACACATTCCCCACACAAAAGTACAAGCTTTTTTTTTTCTTTTAAGTTTCCTTTCTTTTTTATTTTTTTTGTATGTTAAATTTCCGGTGACTATCCAAAGATCCACTCCCCCTGGATAAGAACACGAAAAATAACCAAGTAGGAAAAAACAAACAGCAATTACAACAAACACAGCATATGATCAATTGTCCCGAGTCAAGATGACTTTCAGCTTCAGTCATTTTATTGTACAAAACAAAGGAGATGTCAAGTATGGCCAATTCATAACAAGAAATGAAAAACATAGTAGCTTCATGCTGCCTCTAGGCTCTAGCATGGCACCAAAATCTGGAAAATAAAGCAGTCAATAAAAAATCAGACATGATGCAAATATAAAAACACAAAGATCCAATTGTTAGCCACACAGAATTTGCTACTATTTAATTGCGTCTCTTACAAACTGCCACAGCCACACAAGATCCAATTGTCAGCCACACAGGATCCAACTGTATGACAAAGTATCTATTCGCAATCAAAGGTATTTAATAAAACTTGCAAAAGATACAACAAGCAACGAATTAGAACCATTTCATAACACAATGTCTCGTGAAGTTTAACAAATACAACAAAACTTTAAACTGACAATTCCCATAAAGTTGCATGAACAAACATCTGTATGAGTGATTCACTGAATGACGTTCCACTATAATTCTTCTCTTGAGAGACAAAATCTTACCCTTTGCAATATTGGAAGTCGCTCGGGAAAATTTTCATGACCCACTTATTATGTTCCAGATTCATAAATTTAACATCACACAGATGTAACAGAACAATAAGGACTACAAAGAACAAGTTACCTAATGATGATCGTCATGGCCTTCCCAAGGATGCCTCCAGCCCTAGAAGCATGAAAGAAATAAAACTCAGAAAAAACTTACACAAATGCTGCTTCGAGGTACAACATAATACATCAATGTGAAACAGAATTAATTTGGCACAGCAGTCATGCTAAAAAAAAATCACAACTCACCAGCACCACCGGACCATCCTGCTTTGCCCTGTAGAAAACCCAAAACCTGGAAAATATAATACAAGTTTCAGTGCATAACAGAAAAGCACGATTATGGTCCTGTGAAGAACTTCTGACATGTAAAGCATAAGCTGAATTAAGAGATGTACAAAAGCAACCCATTGAAAGACAACATTCTTCAATAAAAATACATCATAAGAATGAACATAAACAATAAGTGGAGTATCAAGAGCACTGATCAGTAACATCTTGCAATCACTAAATTCCTTGGCCTTTCTATTCTCTGTTGAATCCAGAATCAACCCAAAAGCAGTACCGATAAAAAAACAGAGTAGAAACTGACTAGGTTGAATTTGGCAGAGCACTAGCACCAACAACAACAACAACAACATACCCAGTATATTCCCAACAGGTTGGAGTCTGGGGGGTCAGTTGTACGCAGACCTTACCCTTGTAATTATACAAGGAGGCTGTTTCCGTAGCGACCCAAGGTGCATTGCGCCGTTTAATAAATTTTTTTTTTCTAGAAACTTCACTAATAGAAGAAGCACTAGAATTTAATTGAGCCATTTTGATCTAGTCCATTATTAACACTATGCCAGGAGAATTGTCAACAATGACTCTTCCAGCTCCATTTGCAATGGACAAAGACAGAGCACTAGCACCAAACACAGAAATAAATCATCTTCCATACTCCAAAAAGAGATACAAAATCCAGCCTAATTTTAACAAATGAATTCATCAAAAAGCACGATGACATCCGATAAGACTCTATCGTATATTCTTCCTATTAAGCAGGCTGATGGCCCCCAAAGCATTGCCCACATAAACCCATCTTCTCTTTTTTCACGAAACCATTCAGAATATAGACAATGACACCAAAAAAAATATCTCCCCATACTTTTAACGTGATTGTACCATAGTTCAGCTGGAATTTGATATTTGTTATCAAAGTTCAAATATCCAGTCAATACAGACTTCGAACGTCCACAAGAAAAATATCACGCATCACGGCAATCAACAAATTTCTTAATATGAATTCATTAATTAGAAAAATTGAATCACTCTGAAGAAACACTTGACACCACATTTCATGAAAACTATAGCTGGAATCAGTTTCAGCTCACGCTGTGCGAAGATCTAACACACCTTTCACTAGCAGCAAAACCATTTGATGATAAGATCGAAAATCAACGAAAAAACAATAGGGGCTAGAATCACTTTCGCTCCACGATACACACGGATCTAAAACGCTCAATGGAGAATAATCACTAAATCCAACCGATAATTTCACGATGAAGATTCAAACGTAAGCATTTCTTATGCGTAAGCATTTCTTACCACATGACGGCACAGAGGCCTTTGCCCGTGACGGTGTGCCAGCGCTTTGGCTTGTGCAGAGTCACGCCTTTGTACGTTATGCCTTCACCATGGCCACCGCCCATTCTTCTTTTTCTGCTTTTTTTTTTCCTCCGAAATTCACGATTGCAAGGTTGAATTTCCTAGGGTTACAAACTTACACTGACGAAAAGCTCTGCGATTTGGGGGAAATGAATATGGAGATCCGAATTTTCTTTAGCGACTCTAAAGATTATGATTATATCAAATTGCACCCCTCAGCTATTGGTTATTTAGTTGCGATCCAAGTATTTTGTTAAATTCTCCATGTAAATGATAACTCTACTTAGATAGTCATGGATCACCCAGCCCGAACTTGGCTCAGAACCGGCACAAACTCGGCCCGGTTAGACCCTTTGATCACGGTTTTGGGCCTATATCCGGATTCAAACCGAGTTGGTTCAAGGTCATATGTATGTGACATATGACCCAACGAGTCGAGTCGGGTCGGGTCAGGCCGACCTAGAAAACAACGGTATTTTTTTCTTTTTAGGATAGGTCTCGGATCCAGGTCTTGCACCAGACCGGTGCCTAGGAACGGGACGATTCAGGGTCAGTGATTTTGAGCCTCGCGACCTCGGGACTGGCCCGGAATTTGCCAATGTCTACTTGTAGTAGACATGTCCAAGGGTCGAACCAGCTCGAATTTACCAGTTTTTTAATCGGACCCTAGCCCTTAAGGGCCGGTTACAGGTCGGAAGGCGGGTCGTAGTTGATTTTTTTTTTAAATAAAAAACCGACGGATCATTACCGTCGGGTCAGGCCGGCTTATTTGAACCGGCCCTTAGATATAGTCGGGCCGGTTTCGGGTCGGCGGGCCGGTTCCGGATCGTGAACCGGCCTGGCCTTTGGACACGTCTAACTTGTAGTTACCACTTTTGTAAAAATAGGCTTTTCACAAAATGAACTTTTCAAAAGTATTTAAAATTTAGATTTGCTAAGATTTGTTGATTTTAATGAAATCCTTATAAATCTTAACAGGTTTTTTTTTTTATTTGATTATAAAATATGGTATTTACTACTTATTATTTATAGGATGTTGGTTTCATTATGAAGTTAACAGTCGGTTCTATAGCAAAATTCATGAAAATGAGATTTGACATATGAAATTTGTGTTTAAAGTCTAGACGACTCTTAAAGTTTTACCAAATCTCAATGTTAATAACCCTGAGGTATCGACTTATGATTTTAAAAAAAATTAAAAATCATGGTATTCAATTTATTAATNATAAAATATATAAAGAGTCATCCTATTTACTAAAACTAGTAGCAAGAAAAGTCAAAGGACAATTAATGCATTATATTTTCATCAATTTTTTCAATTGTATTATTATTTTATTGCTAAAAACCGGTTTGCATTAATTCATCCTTAATTGATGTATTTTGCAATAAAATCAAACATATAGACTTCAAGTAAAAACATGTCTCCTTTCAAATTTAAATCTAAATATTAAAATTTCTTATCATTTTGTTACATTAAAATCATGAATGAATTGTTTGCCATAAAATCAGACAAAATAATAATTGCATAGAATTCAAGTAAAAACATGTCTCATTTAAAATTTAAATTTTAAAATTCTTTATCATTTTGTTACATTTCCGAATGATTTGTTTTCCATAACATCAGACGGAACTAATAATTGCATAGAATTCAATTATGATTTCGAATTTATTTCAAGGATGTTTAATAATTGCATAGAATTTCAAAGATGTTTATTTATTACACAAAAAAATAAATTCCAGAAAAACATTTGTGTATATTTTGTAAAATATTTGTACAAAATGTTTTACTTTAAATTTATTTACATAATTTAAATTAATTACATTAATAAATAATATGAACGTACATTAAATATTCTAATTACATAAATCAAAAACAAGAAGAAGACTACACTATAACTTGTATAATTAATAATAACTAGTACAATACCCGTGTATTAAATGGGTGTTGAATTAGAAAACTTCTGTAAAAAATTAATTTATTTATTTTTTTTAAAATTAAAATAATTTAATTTTATATAAAACATTACTTTAGGTTTTAATTAAATTGTCAAATTATATTTTTTAATCATAATAATTAAACACCCGTATATTAAATGATAAATAATTTTATTTTCTAATTAATTCTAATAAATAATTTTTTATTATTATAAAGATAAATATAATTTATTTATTTTATATATACAATATGGATGTCAAATCGAAGCTCATGAAAAGATGATTAATTTGATATATTATATATGTAAAACCGATAAGAAATACAAAAGTTATCTACTTTTAAAATATATTTGCAATTCAATGGTTATAATATGAAATGATATTAAAATACAATTAATACAAATATTAATTTATATCCAAGCCTAACTCCAAAGTATGATTTTTTGCCAAATAAGATTTCGAAGCATGAGAGTTTGCCACGTAGGCTCAGCGCATTCTGAAATTATATGTACTAGTACAACACCTGGTATTACACGGTTGCTTGTTAAAAAATTATTTTTATATTTTTAAATTAATGAGAAAAATTATTTTTAATTTTATTTACTTTTTCACAAAAATTTTATATCATTATATATTTTAGAATAACACTTGTTACATATGCGACTTACATGTGTTATATTATAGTAATTTTTATAACTTATATCATATAACTACTTGAAATATAAATATATTAATTGATAAATAATTTTATTTTTCTAATGAATATTAGAAAACTATTTTATTGTTGTTATAAAGATAAATATTATTTATTTTTTTATACATACAATATGGATGTTAAATCGAAGCTCATCAAGAGATGATTAATTTGATATATTATATATGTAAAACTAATAAAAAATATAAAAGTTATTAACTTTTAAAATATATTTACAATCTAATGGTTATAATAAGAAATGATATTAAAATGCAATTAATATATGTAACATGACCATAAATAATCAATTTATTTATAGATAATCCGAACCTAATTATTTTTGGTTTGGAAGTAAATTAAAATTTACCCAAGCCTAATACGAAGCATGTAATTTTGTCATAGGATCTCGAAGCATGCGAGCCTGCCATTTAGGCTCAGCATGTTCTGAATTAATATATAGGAGGATTACAATTAGAAAGCTTTTGTAAAAAATTATTTTTTTTATTTTTTTAAAAACTAAAATAATTTAATTTTATATAAAATATTACTTTGGGTTTTAATTAAATTGTCAAATTATATTTTTTTAATCGTAATAATTAAACACTCGTACATTAAATGATAAATAATTTTATTTTCTAATTAATTTTAATAAATAATTTTATTATTATTACAAAGATAAATATAATTTATTTATTTTATATATACAATACGGATGTCAAATCGAAGCTCATGAAAAGATAATTAATTTGATATATTATATATGTAAAACCGATAAGAAATATAAAAGTTATCAACTTTTAAAATATATTTGCAATTCAATGGTTATAATAGGAAATGATAGTAAAATACAATTAATACAAATATTAATTTATATACAAGCCTAACTCCAAAGCATGAAGACTCCAAAGCATGAGAGTTTGCCACATAGGCTCAGCCCATTCTGAAATTATATATAGAGGGGATGACATTATAGTACAATAAATTTTATAATAAAATAATATGAGGAACAAGATTACGTAAAATTGTTATTTTTCTTATATCAAGGAATAAATATATATAATGAAATCAAATTTATATTATTATAAACATGTGAGCAAGATAATATATTAATTAATTTACGGGCTAGCGCTAGCAGGCTCAGGTTTAATGTTCCGACAAAAAAAATGACGTCGATGAAAAGATGTAAAAAGATAGATGATCAAACTCTATTATTTTTATGTCTGAAAGGACAAGCCCTATGGTCCACTCATTTAATATCTCCCGTGATTCGCACGAGCTACTTAACGGACAAGCTCTGTGGAAATGACTCATTTAATACTTTTGTCTTGTGCATCGCACGAGCTACGTACTAGTAATCTTTGTATAAAAAACTAGATAGACCTATCAATTATATAATCACTTTTTTTCGATATATATGCATATTTTTAAATTGAAATATCATACTATAGAAAGCAATATAAAAAAAAGGTATGACATTTGATAATATAAATATGCACTTTGTTAAAAAAGTGTGACAAAACAATCGTTTTAACCGTCTCATACAACAATTTATGTTGTGTATTTGCCACGTAGATCATTTTTTTCTTTTAAAAAAAAAACCCTATACTATCCCGAAAGCATTACACCCAATTTTTTTTTTCAGAACGATATGCAATACTATTATTCACAATACAAACAAGACTAGAGAACAACTACTCACTCAAATAAACTACCAACGGCCGAGTAAGCTGAACAACTGACTCTAGTTGGGAGGATTACACGTACAGACAGACGGTGGCCTAGAGTCAACCTACAACAAAAACACAACTAAAAAACACCCAATAGGAGAATAAACAAAAGCTCCCAACATGAGAATACATCAAACACACTCCCAACAAGAGATAAGAAAATAAAACACAAACACAAACAAAACAACACAAACACAAAAACACAACTAAACAAAAGCCAAACAACCAAAACCTAAAGCCTAAAACAGAGAAAAGATGAAAGCCCTCCCCACCGAACGGAGATCCCAGCAGCACCACATCCCGAGTCCACACCTAACGCGAACTACCGAGGGAAACCACAAGATCCACGGTCCAAACAACGGATCAAGAAACTCCCCTAATGGGCTAACGAGATCCGAACCACAAACCCATCAACCTCTCCTAGCACTCCACAGACGCAATCCAGGCCAACCCACTCAACAACCTCCCCACGCACTCTCCGGAGTCGCCGCACCAGGCTAACGAGAACACGTTTGTATCCAATCTAGTTCGCTTGAATAAAGTATTTGCTCTTGAATCCATCAACACCAGTCGGTTGGACTGGTAGGATCGATACAACTTTCTAAATAAATTTTGTTATATATAAATTATTTTAAATAAAAATTACATATTTAAATAAAATAGAAATTTACAAATTATTTATCAATTAGTTTAAACATTTGAATTTATAAATTGTTTAGATATCTAAGTAACACATTTTATTTAAACTTGTTACAAAAAGTACTATATATATAAATGTTGGTAAATTAAAATCTAAACAAACCACAAATGATTTAATAAAATAGCTTGATCGTTTCGATGACGGTCCAGTTCTGAAAACCTTATATTTACTGTATATTAATAGATATCATAATAAAATATTATTTAATTTCACATAAATATTAATAAAATGATATATAAATATTCATAAATCATTAAACATGTCGCCATAAAAGTATTGTTTATACGATTATTTAAAGTTTGGACTTCATCACATTCACGTAATAAAATATTTTCAATATAAAATTTATATTTAGGTTCAATAGTCGATTTTGTGTGGTCGAACTGATACATAACTTAGTCACCTGAGACCAACCAAGTTGTGTCAAGTTTTTTGACTATTTTAAATATCACCTAAAAGTAATTCAATCAACTTGGGCAGTACCCTTATTCAATCACTCGATTGATCCGAAGAATTTTTTTATTTTCTTTAAATATATTTAATTTTATGAAATACAAATATTTTATGATTCATATAATAAATGTCTACACCAAATGATAGTATATTAAGATTATAAATTATATATATAAAGATGAATTAATTATTTTTACTTTATGCATATTATTAAAAAATAAACATAGTAATTTTTAAATAATTAAGATTAATTGATTGATTATGAAATTTAAAGAATATTTTTAGCGTTCAATATTTTTTTTAAAGGCACAAATATAAAGACAGAGATTCTAAAACTTTTGTTATATTTTGAATTGAGATTTTATAAATATAGAGACCGAGATTTTAATGTTGTTTGTTGTTTCTAAGAAAAAAATAAAAATAAAAATATACACACTTAATAAATCTTATTTGGATTTTTTAAATAATAAAATGAACTAAAGCTCGAAATTTAAGGTAACATTTAATGATATATGATTTTTAAAGAAAAAAGAAAGAAAAATAATAAAACTTACTATTTATAGACTATATTAAATTCTGACCTATTTTTTGCTACTATTTTTGGTAAATGGTAATTCTTATTATATATATATAGATTTGTTTTATCCCATAAATCCGTTTAGTCAACAAAATCCCATAAAATCGTTCTAAACTTTTTGTAGATTGAAATCGAAATTTCCTTCTTATCTTTTTACCAAAAATTTTATTATTTATGTATTGAAATTCTGTAATCCGATTTCAGATTGTATCATTAAGAATATATTATAGTTATATTATCAAATCATAAAAAGATACTAAATCCATATTGTAAAAAAAAATAATTCATATAATTTCATAACAATTTAGACTATTTAACAGTATTCCTTTTTATTATATAATAAAATAATAATTACATATTATATAGTGAACAAAAATAAGTAAAATTGTTACTTTCTCTTATATCAAGGGATAAATTTATATGCTAAAATTAAATTTTTATTAGTATAAATGTTTTAGTGAGATAATATATTAATTATTTTACAAACTAGCCCTAACATGTTCATAGTTAATGTTCTGGCAAAAAAAAACAATATTGATTAAAAGATGTGGAAAAAAATTTATATTCATATTTAATGTTCTGGCAAAAAAAAACAATATTGATTAAAAGATGTGGAAAAAAATTTATAATAACCCTATTGTTTTTTAGACTTAACGTTGATTAAAAGAGGTAAAAAATAAATAATAACTATATTATTTTTTAGACTTAAACGGACAAGGGTGTGAAAATAACTCATTTAATATCTCTGTCCCGTGCATTTATAATGTCCCGTGCATCGTACCGGGTACGTACTAGTGAGAGAGATAAGAGAGATTTATGAGGGCCAATTGGTAATTTTCGTGATGTTGTCGAATGTCATTGAATAAACCCTGTACAACAGCATTCGCTATTCGCCTTTTATTTTTTTATGGAGGTTCTACAATACGAAGGTTCTACAAAGCGCTAATACGACCTATCTTTTCTCGCGACAGCCATCTGGTTTTGCCTTGCCTCCGACGATCAAACGTGCGATGCTTATCCATTTTCTGCTCTATTTATTTATGTCTCTTAGTTTCTGAACATTTTTGTCATGAGGAACCCTAGTCACCATTTTGTGTTGATGGAAGGTGGTGAAGATTTTGGACATCTATTTGTGCTATTGCACTTATTTTTTCATTTCGTGTTGCCAATGGAATAGCTACAGTGTCAGTACTCATTGTTCTTGTGTTTATTTTTCAGATGTTTGTTTTTTCTCTTTTTTTCCTGAATGGGTTCCACGATTTATGTTATCTGGCTTTGAGTTCTTGAGCATGAAGTGCATCTGCCTTTGTTTAACTTGAACAGGCACTTTGGGTTTGAGATCATTGGCTCTAAATCTTCTTTAACGGGTTTGCACGTTTACATTGTGTTTGTATTATTAACTGTCCTGTTAACTATTCGTTTGTCTTGTTGTTTAGTTGTAGAGGTTCCTTGCTTGTGAAGTTAAATGGAGAATCGGCCGCCGGGTGACGACTCGGTTGCGAGTGATACTGCTGTTGAAAATTCTGGTCCAGCACTTCATGTCAATATCAAGACTCTTGATTCGAGGATTTTCAGTTTCCTCGTTGATAGGAATGTGAGTCCTGATTTAATCTTTTCATAGTTTTGTAACTAACATAAGCTCACATTCATCAATATACCACTGCCATGGTCTTGTTTATGATGTTTCTACTTTCTAGCAGGGTGGAAGCACGGCATCATTTTATTAACTTTTATTTTGTAATGAAATGCATGATTCATTGAACTCTGATTGATTATGAAGATAATGAGCTTATTAGTCTATGGTTTTTATTTATTTTTTGCTTCATTATTTGCTTGGAAAATGCAATTCTGGAGCACGATTCCTTGTGTATCTTCTTTGTATAATTTACATTAGAGTTGACTGAGTTGAAAGACTAAGCACATACTCATTCCCATGATTTGCCGATTTCAGACTTTGGTTTCAGCTTTTAAGGAGAAAATAGCTCAAGAAGTTAGTGTTCCTGTTGGACAACAACGTCTCATTTTCAGGGGCAAGATTTTGAAAGATGATCACATTCTCTCTGAATATCGTATCCTACCAGACACTGCATTACTTATACGTCCTAGTTCCACCTACTATAAATGTTCTATACTTTTATTGATTTGACTTTTACATTATGGTTGATGCTTCGCTTCCTCTGCAAACTTGAGAATTATCACGCATTCCCTTCTGTGCTATTCAGATTAGTCATTTGTATTCCTGAGTGGGGCAAAAATGCTCATTGGTTATTTATTTTATTTTTTTGTAGTTAGCTTATATTCTTTTTAATAGTTTAAAAAAAATGCAAATGCCAAAAAATAAAGCAAGAAAATATTCATTTTGGAATTTTTTTAATTTTGGTACTTATGTTATTGCAAGGAAGTATTTGCATTATGTAATCTTTGTGGTGTCTACCTTAACAAGTTACAGACGTGGAACATGGGGATACCCTGCATTTAGTTGAGAGGCAGCCACAAACCTCTCCTGGGTCCAATACAGGGGCAGCAGCTTCAAGTAACAGTTCTGGAGGTGGTGTGATAAGTTGCAAAATCTTTCTAGGTGTAACTGGTATACTTTTCTGTCCTAGATTTTCAGTTGTGCCTTTTATTTACAGGACAAGATACCGCTGCTGGTGGACCACTCAATCGTATTGGGCAAATTTCCCAGAGTGTAGTACTTGGGACCTTAAATCTCGGAGACCCAGGGGAGTCACTTGGATCAGATTTAAGTCGGGTGTGTTTGTGCAGTTATGCTTGAAATTGTTGTGTTCACTTGATGATGGAACTATGAAAATAATTATCTCCCTATCTATATATAATTAATAAGATTTGTGCAATTTAGGTCATAGGGGGTGTACTGAGCTCTTTAGGGATGGGCTACCCAGTAGGTGGCATGCAACCTGGCCTTCAGGTATCAAATACTTTCACTTTTCTAATTCTTGTCGGTGATCTGATAATTTTTTTTCTCCGCGATGGCATATTGTTTTCTGTGTGCTGCAGACTGTTCTTTTTAGCTGTTGGGATATTTGATGTATTAATTAGCTATGTTAATTCTAGCTATTGTAAAAGAAAAAATTGCGTGACTTATTTGATGTTTTCGCTGATATCTTTTATTAGTTACTCTATTGGACCATCCTAGTTGGACTTCTATAAATTCATTTTGAGATCTTATGGACTTATTAACAGTGATCTCTTGTGTACAGACTTCTGATGGAAATAGAGCAGAACAGACGCAGGCTAATGCTGGCAGTCAGAGACAGGGTGGAAATCAGTTTGGTCTGTATCAAGCCTTAAACGGTCAATCTGCATCCCGTCCTACGCAAAACCCTGTGGGAGCAACAATGGCTGTTCCATCGCTGAATGCGGTAGGAAATTTTGTTTCTTAAGAATCCTTCAAAATTTTGTTTTGCTTTCATGTTGATTTTTCTCATACTGTTTCCCTCTTCCTAAAATCAGCCAATACCTGATTCTCTTAATACGCTGACAGAGTTTATTAACCGAATGGAATTGGCATTATCACAAAACGGTAACAAATTTGGCATTCTTGAGTTATGGTTTTTTGCATGCATATACATATCTCGGGCTAGTTCTACATTGTCTTCAAATTAGGTACTCAACAAGACCAATCAGCAGATGCTAGTGGCAGTCTACCTACCCCACAGTTGCCTACAAACTTGCATGGTTTTCCAACTGTAGAAGCGCTGACCACTGTTATGCGACATGCACAACGCCTTCTTTCTGACCATGTTGTTCGAGCATTATCTGTAAGCACCAGTCAATGGAAATTTGGTTTTTATTTNAAATATATATATGCCTCTGGTACTTCTGTTTTAATTTCTAATTCCATTTATAATCTGCTGCAATGTTGTAGCAAACTGCAGGGCTATTAGACCAGGATGGACGTTCAAGTGACCTTGCTGTTCGGGGGCAAGTTCTTTCAGAAACTGTACAATTAGGTGTTGCTATGCAGCACTTGGGCGCACTATTTCTAGAGTTGGGAAGGACAATTTTGAATCTTCGTGTTGGACAATTCTCTGTACGTAATTTTCCCTTTTGTTCAGCATCTGGCAATTTTCTGTATGCCGTGTCATCTTACAATTTCTGGTGCTTATGCAGGATCAATCGTATGTGAATGCTGGGCCAGCTGTCTACATATCTCCATCTGGCCCAAACCCAATCATGGTTCAGGTTCGTAGTTCTAAATTCGTAGTTCTAGAAACTTGTGTATGGTAACTGTTCAACTGTTAATTTTTCCAAATTCTTTCCTACTGCCTCAAATATGCCCATGTAGCTTTTTGAAATGCATGCTCCTTGAATCTTGTTCTGGATATCAATTTTGACCCCTATCCCAGAGTCTGTGTGTGTGTGTGTGTGTAAATATCTATTTCTGATGGTGAACCTTGTTATATACAATGATTCTGGATCCCTATATGCAGCCGTTCCCTCTTCAAACGACCTCTCTCTTCGGTGGCTCATCTGGTGCCACACAGAATCGGCTTGCTATTGTTCCTCCATTTGGTAGCGTGACTAGGAATGTGAATATTCATATTCATACTGGTAAGCCAGCCATACATAATTTTTTCTTCTAATCCTCCGTGTAAATCATTTATTCCCAGTGTCTCAATGAACTTTCCACTTTTTAAACCAGCGGCAGCACTTGCATCCATTGTTCCTGTGGTTGGAAACAGATCTCCTAACGGAGAAGAAGTTCAAGGGCAACAAGGCAGTGGGGCTTCTGGTGAATTAGGTCAAGCACAGGTTCCAACTGGAGTGAATGTGACCACAACATCTGTCCCGTTAAGACCTGGTGCAGTAGGGGGTTCACAGGCTATCAATCCCGGTGGTCCTGTGTTCACAAATGTGTCTAGTCTCAATGATTATATCAGAGACATAGCTGCTAGCAGGCGGAATGGAAGCCAGGCACCATCAGGTGTGCGATTGGTAAAAATATGCTTTTTTTTCGCACCCCGTTTTTCGTATGTTCTGTTGAGGGACTTTTTGTTTCAATCTTTGATGAATCAGGAGGTTTGGCTAATCAGGGGCAACCACCTGGTTCTGGTGTTAGATATAATGAGACGAGTCGCCAGCCGAGTTACTTTTCCAGTAGCACAGCTGGTGAAGCCACTCGGACTGCCGTCACAGACAAACAAAAGGTGAAAGAGGGTGCACGTTGGATTTCAATTTTTTTATTGATTGTAAAGTTGCAATGGTTGTTGTTGTACTAATCTAAACTGGACTTTCAGGAAAAGACTGATCCTTCTAGCAGTCCTGGGGGAGGCGCTCATATGTCTGGGTCTTCTGGTGTCCCTCTTGGACTCGGACTCGGAGACCTTCAACCTAAGGTAAATATACTTATATATAACATATATATATGTACACACACATATATATTCGTACTTAAGGGTTTTGCGAGTTTCTTGGTGCTGTTTGTTTGTTTGTTTTCTGAATATTTGACTCAAATCATAAGTTGATAGATTTACATGGACATCGATTATGAAATCTTCCTTCCCTAATGAAAAATTTCTTGTAAATCATGTAAATGCAGCATTTCCCCCGGTGTTATTTTGCTTCTTTTCTAATTTGCTTTTAGCATTTTACACTTGGAAAGTTGTTCTCGTTCTGGTTATTTGGCTAATGACCATGATTGAAATCTTTTGCTTGTGTTCATGAATCACACCATATCACAAGGTCGATGAACTTCGAAGTATTAAAAAACGCTGATGTGCTCGATTATCATTATCACCCGTGTAATGCTTTTGTATTACGCTCCACAGAAACCAGCCAAAGTTCAAGCAAAGACCACCGACCATGCATCTTCCAGCAGAACCGTGGGGCAACAAGTCCTTGCCACTGGGGAAAATCCCAATCCTCTACCCTCAGGACAATCTTCTGAGCCTGAAAGGGGTAGCAATGTAAATTTGCCTCCATCCAGGCAAATTACGAACGACAATGTGGATATAGCAGATTCAATGTCTCAAATCCTGAGCAGTTCCTCTGTGGACGGCCTATTGGCCCGTCTCGCACAATACACTGGGGTTGGTTCTCCTGAAGTATTGAGAAATTTGCTGCAACAGGTAACTCAAAACCCAGTCATGAGGAACCCTTTGAATCAGCTTGCCGAGCAGGTGCAGAACAGGAGCTTTGACCTGTCGACGAATATGCAGCAGATGATGCCTGCAATTTCTCAGGCTTTAGGAGGTATTACGGCTATTCCCCAAATGAATCCTCCTCAAGGACAGGTGTCGCCTGGGAGTAGCTCGAGGAGAGATGTGACACAGACAAATGATGATCCTCAGGTTTGTATTGTTTTTTACATACATGGAAAATTTTGGGAAAGATGATGGTGCATAGCTGACGTGCTTTTGGGTTATTGACAGAATTACCCTTGAGTTTAAATCGTAATCAGAAGACACACTGCACGTATTAAAATGCCCCCTTGATTTTCTCTAATTTTGAATACGATGAACTTAAGGTTGTGTTTTTAATAGTTTGAGGTGGTATGTTTGTTAGAGTTGAACGTGGGAGAAGACATTTTTAGATTTTTAATCCTTTCAGTTGTTTGGTGACAATTTGTTGCTTATTGGTAATCGAGGAATGTTATTATACGTATTGATAATTTGGTCTCCGTAAATTTTACCTTCATCTCCTGAGGTTAAACTGATACCATAACTCTTTGGTCTTGAAAATTTTCCGTGTAACAGTCATTCTCATTTCGGGTTAGGACACTTCTACATTTCTTGTGCTGATAATTTTAGATATAGAAAGTTATGATCATCTATTGCCGAAAGGAATCACTTCCTTTATATTTCCTACATATGAATTTCCATTTGTATGAATGATTTGGAGTGTATTTTTTGCTCCTTGATTTCCTCATTCGGCAGATTAATCTCCGAGAAGTGGTTCAGAGGCTCGAAGAACAGAACTCGTTTGGAGAAATTTTCTGTTCTCTGGTTAGGGTGGCAGAGCGACTTGGCAGCAGTGGCAATTCGGAGGAAAATATTGCTAATGCAATATGCAATCTTGGTCTTGCACAGGTTAATTTTTTTATTTTTTTTTTCTTTTTTTTTCCTATTTTCCTTCTATACTTTTTTTTTTCCTGGGTTTACCTTCTATCGATGATGGCACAATTTCACCATATATTTTCTGGTGTTGGTAAAAATTTGCAGGAGTTCATGGATATGTTCCTCCATGATTTGAGTGCGAGAGTTGAGGATGGAATGTGATCTGATTTGATTACAAAGAAATTTTCTTTGTTGGCATTTGGTCCCTCAGTTATGTACTTATTCGCTTGTAAGTGGTGTCTAATCCATTTGTTTTGTCAGTATTATGGTGCCTCAGTGCCCAAACTATAATTATCTGGATTTTGCACAAGGAAACACGTGGCGAAAAACTGTGGATCTTGAGCTTTCCTTTTCTCCACTCCTTTTGTGATCAGGTGAAATTAGATGTTGATAATTTGCACGTAGACCTTAGATTAGATCTTGGTTGACGTGATTCTGGTTGAGTTATTGTGGAATTTACCATGCTGTTGCCATTTTGTGTCCATTGATATTATGCTGTTGGCTGCGTAACCATTATACAGTTATTTTTTGATGCTCAAATATTAATTTAAAAGATAGCATAAATAATAATATAATATTTTATAGTATATATACATATATATATTAGGAGTACAAAATTGTAAGGTAACCCATCAGTGTACTTTAAAATATTAATGGCAACTTGTGAGGCTCTACACGGCCTCAAACTCATCGAGAGACGAGTATGCAATTCCTAAAAATGCGCTTCTTTGTGGCAGGGCAAGCGGGAGGCATACGAGCCTCTCGTCTAGCTAATTATTAGTTTTATTATAAGCTGGGCCTAGCCTTTGAATAACTTATTATAAGGGACATGTTTTTTATTACAGTTGTTTCGATTCTTGGGGTTGCTAAAATCGGCATCTATTTCTGAGATCGGGTGCATATTTAACTGTAGTAGTTTGTGCTGTTGGGTTTATCGACCTTAGCTGAGGTTGAGTTTTAAACGATGTTTTAGTGTCTTTTGGTTCGATATTTATCGATCGCCTTCTTTATAGTTGCTGAAATGTTGAGAATGGACTGGTTTCTTAGTTTATCTGGTCATGGGATGCATATGCAGACTGTAGTAGTTTTGAATAAACCTAAATTTGCGAACTTTTGAAACAACTGATGTTACGCTTTAACATTGATTTATATATGAAAAGGCAAATGATTTACCTAAAATAGTAACTAAATTTCCGCATAAATAATTCATTTACTAGAAAATATTTTTGTTGTCCATTGTTTTCGTCTGAAATACAAAAATCAAATTATTTTATCTATTCACACCTTTTAACAACTTGAATCGGTAAATTGCACCAAACCTCCCTCAAATTATTTTATCTATTCACACCTTTCAACAACTTGAATCGTGGGTAATTTGCACCAAACCTCCCCGTGTTTTACGAGATGTGTGCGTTTCCCCACTGTGTTTTAAAAATTGCACCAGACCCCCTTGTGTTTAAGTAACTGATGCACACGTTCCTTTTTTTCAATGTCCTGTCGGTGTTAATTTTTTTACAAAAGTCCCGTTATACCCTTCGAATATTATATATATATTTGTGATAAATTGAATTTATCACGATATATTGGATATATCGCGAGAAATTGAATTTAACGGTGTTAAATTTTTTACAAAAATCCCGTTATACCCTTCGAATATTATATATATATTTGCGATTAATTGAATTTATCACGATATATTGGATATGTCGTGAGAAATTGAATTTAAAAAAAAATACTACCTCTACGGTTCGAACCTGAGACCATCTAAGAGCATGGCAAGCAAGCTACCACTACACCACTCATGCTTGAGTGTTAGGATTTGCTTGTTTACAAAATAATTCGTCCAAAATGAGTTATTTTGGTTAACTAGAGTTAATTTTGAAAAATGTGGTATGGTTAGTTGTTAGTGAGATTTTAAAAATGTATTAAAATAATATTTAAAATAACATGATTAAAATTGATTTGATGTAAAAGTATGAGATAAATGATTGAAAATAATTGAGAATGATAGGTAGTTAAAATTATGTGAGTGGATGAACAGTGAATTAAAGTTGATGTGATGTGTAAGAATAACTGATTTGTATTTATTAATTATATGAATAATATTAAAGATAGTGGGGTTGAGTTAAAGTTGAGTTAAATTTTGAGTATTAATTAAAAGTGAGTGAAATAATTAATAAACAAGTATGCCCTTAGTTGTAGTAAAGTTTAATATACATTGACATTACATATGGATAAATGAAATTTTAATTTATAAGATAATGTAAATTATATTAAATTAAATTATTAAAATAAAAATACGATAAATTAGTATATAGTGAACCAAATTATATAAAATTAGGCGACACAAAAATATAAAAACAACTTATTATATTAAATAAAAACAAAATAATTAAATAAATTATAAATAAATTTAAAAATTTAAGTTAAAATAATAATATTTATTGTATTTATATTTAGATTATTTTTATTTTATTATTTATTTTAATTTATATTATTCCATATTATTTTATTGCATTGTTCATTTTATATTATCTTAGTTAACAAACTTTATTTATTTTGTTTTTAAGATAATGAAATAAAACTAAAATAAATTTTACTAATAAATTATAAATTTATATTATTCCATATTATTTTATTGCACTGTTCATTTTATATTATTATTGTTTAAGATTTTTATTTACTTTAATTTATTATATCATAATAATTTATTTGATTTATTATTTTATTTTACTTTACAATTTTATACTTTATTATCTTAAAATAGTATTATTTTTATTTTATTTATTTTTTATTTAATTTTATTATTATTGTCTTTCATTTCAATATTTATATAATTAAATTATTTTAATAATTAGAAATTATAAATTTATTTAATTTTAATTCATGCTACTATATTAAATTTTATTTTACTTTATTTTAATTTGAATGTTTCATTATTTTTATTTTAATTTAATTTATTTCAAGTTATTATTATTATTAATAAATATTTAATTTATATTAATTTACCTATTAGATTTTTATTTATTTTATTTACTTTATTTTTATTTTGTTTAATTCATTTCCATATTATATTATAAATATATGTGTGTTCAATAGTTTACACAACATTCATGTAGCCCAGTGGTTGTGTTGGTGTGTTTCCTTATTCCAAATAAGGGTAAATTAATAATTCTAAAAATAAAAAAATTAAACAAATCTCGCAGTTAGAGAAGGTGTCATACACGCGCGGTTAACTTGGACGGAATGGGGGAACCGTGCATCGGTTACTTAAACACAAGGGGGTCTGGTGCAATTTTTAAAACACAATGGAGAAACGCGCACATTTCGTTAAACACAGGGGGGTTTG